GTCAGCGTATGTCAGTGAAAGACCTAGGGAGAGTGGCTAGTGAGGAGACATGGCTAAAGCCCCAGTCCTGGAACAACAGCTGCATTACAGGCCCGGGCAGAAGAAAAGGTGTCTAAGAAGGAGAGCCCAAGAATCGGAAGGGAGACAAGTAGGGTGAAGAGGCCTAGAGGTCAGTCTCTGTCCACATGACTGGGAGCAGCAACCACTTCCCAGACTAACTATCATAGCATTTGGGCACGATTTCATTGACTCCTTCTTTTAGTCCAGGAACTTCTATAATCACAACTTATTTTTCTTTGTTCCTTAGTGAAATCTGTTAATTATAAAAGTAATACATCCTCATGTTAACAAGGCAAATAAAGCAGAGATGCATGGGGGAAATATCAGAAAAAATCACTCCTAAACCTCTTAGCCCCAACCACACACACACTTGCACACACACAAGCACATGTCACAGGTTCACACATCACACACAACACACACATATAGACAGACACACAGAACACACACATATCATGCACACCAACATGCACACACACAGAGGGGTTTGGGGTTTTTTTGTTTTTTGTTTTTTGTTTTACATTTCACACAAATGGGAAACCATATCTATTACTTACAAAATTTTTTTCACACAATAAATACATCATGGAGCTATATATTTATATATTTCATTCTATTGTTGATTGTTGTTTAATGATCTGTAGTTTGGCCGCAGCAGTGTTTTTTTCATTCCTGAGTATTCTTGAGATCATACTCTATGTTATGATCCTCTTTTGTCACTTAGTATTAAATCAATTCCCCGTGTCATTAAACACATTTTGTAAGTATAATTTCAATGACTACATCATAGTCCTGAGTATGAGTATATCATAATTTATTTAACTATAATTTACTTTCTGCCAATTTGGGCTATTAAAAATAGTACCATAATGAACATTATAGAACACTAAGCTATGTCCACACTTCTGGTTATTTCTTTTAGTATATGAACACTAATCTTAGAGTCTTTGTCCAAGTTACCAAACTACTTTTCCTAGAAAGACCGTAGCAATCTGTGTTCCCACTGACAGTGATTGAGAGGTGCTTCTCGCATCTTTTCTTAAATGTTTATTAATTGGTTAGAAAAAAAAATGGTGTTTTATCACTTTAATTTGCATTTCAGGTGATTCGGGAGGTTAGCTTTGTTCAAGTTCATTATCCCTTTGCAATTCTTAAAATGATGCTGATCACAGGCACCCAGGGCCGTCCAGTTCTAAATCAGCCCTTCCTCTTTCGCCACTTGCCCTACCTCAGATGCTTCTTTCCCACCCTGGGCTCCAGCGTGGCCCTCTCCTTCCTGGGTTTGCCTTCCTTGCCATCAGCTCACAAGCCTCTCATTCCTTCCTTGGTCCCAGAGCTGGTCTCTGTCATAGCTTCCATGCCTGGGGGTGCCCTGGCTCAGCCTACCCCAGTCCCCCTGCCCCGGAGGACCGAACAGGAGCCTGAATTTTCTATCAGGCTTCCAGGGCCCAGCATCAGACTGAGGTCAGTGCTGACCTTGGGCAGACATAGCCAGGGCCCTTCCTGCCCTGCCCTGGGCCCAGGGAAACCAGAGGGCCGCTGTTAGGGCCTTACCTGCTGCGACTTTGTACAACTCTGTCTCATCTTTTCCTCTCCCGTTTTCCTCCTCTCCCCATTACTCCAACGCAGGCTTTAATTTTCACAAATGATACAATTTGGTGGTTTGGGGTTTCTGCAGGAGAATTTCTGTGATCCTCTGAGCACTGGGACCTGTTTGCCCTTGTTAGAGAAGAGGGACTCTGGAAGCTCTGCAGACCCCGTCAGGCTGTGGTAATAAGCAGAGGCTGTTTGAGCGGCAAAGTGTAAACCTGGTCCTTCTTAGTGAGACTTCGCAGAAATCCCACTGGAGATTTTTCTGCCCCTGCCCTGTCTACTTTCCTTCATAATGATAAATGGCTGAAAAGAAAACTATCTAATCTCCAAACTGCTTGCTTTTTTTCTCCTCTTTCTTCAAGGAGGGAAAGAAGAACACGGTCACATAAAACAGAGTCCTTCATCGCCTGCTTCTCAGGAGACAGTTCCTTCCCTTTTCATCCCAGGCCTGTTTCTGATCTCTGATGGGCTCTCACTGAAAGCTCTGGCCAGCCTCTCTAATCAGCTGCGACAGATGACAGACGCTGCAGTTGCTTGGGTTGCCCATCGAAATTGAATTGATTACCCGGCCCCTTTGCCATTTTGTTCCGCACACAATTGCTTAATAGCTGTCACCTTGGCTTTCAGTCCCAGCCAGCTGCAGGCTGACTGGTTCCCATTACTTGGGATGGCCAGTGCAAGTTCATCACCTTTACAGGATGTCCCTGATTGATTCCGTATGCCTCGGAGACCTGTAATATATTTGCATAGGAGGGAGCATGGCGCGGTTGGGGGACGGGATAGAACTCTCTCGGCTACGGGAACTGCCAGGTTTAGCTGCAGGGCTCGCCATATTTGAATCATTACCGAGGCTTCTTGTCAGGAGTCTGGCCTCTGCTGACACAGCTGCTAATGAATTTGTAAATTTTTAAAAAATACAAAACAACCCAGCCTGATCTAACCTTTGCTGTCGCCACCTGCTGCCTGGGTGGGGATGGCCAATCGAACCGTGCTTTTCCTGCTGAGCTTGTGCTGGTCTTTCGAAACGAAAGTCTCTCCCTCCCCGCTCCGTTCCCCTGCCTGCCAAGCAGGAGAACTGGGCTCGGAGGGGAACATCTTTCAAGTGAAATCTTTGCACTGGGAACTACTTCAATTAGACAGCAGGGGGAATGTTAACATGCCCTCCGGCCTTTTAAGTGGGTTTTAATTTTATGTTGTAAGATAAGACACTGCGAGGCTGGGGCTGCTACTTCTCCAGCAGGCTCCATTAGTGGGGCGAGCCGAGGCCTCTTGACCCCCTGAGGCCCAGCCAAGACTGGAAGTTGGTTTGGTTTTTTAACAATTTGTCAGTCTGACCCAGCTTCTCTTTCATTCTCCCTTTTGTTGTGCCAGGCTCTTCTGTTGTTGGAGACAGTTGGGTAGCCAAGTTGTAGCTGAGAGCCTAGCCCCCTTTCCCCAAGCGGCCGGGCCTGGGCTAGAGAGCAGAGCCCTGGGTGGGAGCTGCCTGTCTATGGCCTCACAGCTGAATATTCATCCTTTTTTTTTCCCCCTTTCCAGGCAGAGCACTGTAGAAGCAGACACTTTTCATGTGGCAGGTTTCTGGCCCGATGATGTATGACCTGTTGGCGCTACTGAATGGTGCCCTTTGTTCCAGGGTATCCCATGTGCCCCCTTTTTATTGACTTGTTGATTCAGAGGGGCAGGAATGTTCCACAAATCCCACTGCAGGCCCTGCTCTCTAGCCGTGCCCAGGTGGGGAAGCCCAAGGACCTCATGCTTCCCAGAAAGCAGGTAGGAAGATAGGGGCTGCCTAGAGGCAGAATATTCCTTAAGAGACAGCATTCTTTACCTTGGACTCAGGCAACTATGTGTCTAGAGAGCCTGGGAACCCACATGTAGCTCCCAGCCCTCTGTCTGGGGTTCTAGAAAGTGTGGGGTATCCCAGAATTCAGTCTTCGCCCAGAAAGAAAAGAGCAGAGCAGGTGTGTACACAGGCACACATACATGCAGACAAAACCCACTTAAAATTAAAATTAAACCCACCCCTTCCCTGAACTGTAAGCCAGGTTCAGGTAAGTTTTTCTCTGTGACCAATGAGCCCAAGATGGGAACCAACAGCCAAGGAGAGAAGGAGTTGGCCTCCTTCCGCAGCAAGAAGTTTCCCCAGAGAGCAGCCCTACAGCCACAGGGAAGGACTCAGGGGGAAAAAGATGACAAAGTTGACTTTTTACCCATCAGGAAACCTCATCATCCTGAAAAAGATGAGGGTTTAAAGAATACCCTTATCCTTGCTTTCTCTTCTGCTGACTTCCCAGACCAGCCTGCTCTGCAGACAGTAGGTAACAATGAGCAGCTTTGGAAAAGGAGCCACAAGGGGAGGGGGCAAGAGGCAGGATTGTAAGGAGGGAGACCCAACACACCTTTCCACACCAGCTTCTCTTCTAATCTAACGGGGTGAAACTAGACTGAATTTCATTTCTCCTTTTCACACTCCATCTTATGGCCAAGCTGTAGGGATCTGGCGGAGGAATGGGAAGCAGAGGTCTCTGCCAGGCCTTCATTCTGTTCTCTGGGGTGCAGCTGGCTGATGAGCTCAGACATCTGACCTCTCCAGGAAACCCCAGGCTCTCTCTCCAACCTGCTCTTCAGTTTCTTGTCTGAAGAGGCCACACAAATCCCACCAAGAATTCCTTTCTGTGTAAGACCACCTCTCCCAAATCACCAGGTTGTGTCTTGGTTACTAAAAGGGGACGAATTCTGGTGTATTGCCTGCCTTGCCCTTCTGGGGTCTCTGTGGGCCCTGGAATCCAGACCCGTCATCTGGGGAGTAACATGAGAGCAGAGGTACAATTGTTCCGTTGGTTCTAAATTCCTTCACTCGAGGCTCAGAGGCTCCATGGTATAAATGCTCAGAGGCACAGAAAAAAATACCAGCAAAGGGGACACTAAGACCACTGCTGAGCCAAGAAATGACAAGTCAGTAGTAAAGAGCATCCACACACTTCACAGTTGTAAAATGGCTTTATGTTACGATATGTAAAATAAAATGTCCATGCTATATAACAAAACACTTGACGTTCCACATCCCCTGTTGGCTATTGTGTCTTCTAATATAGTTTAATCTGTGGTGGGTGTATATTTATATATATAGATTTATTTATTTATATATTTATTTATTATTTATTTATTTATATGTTTTCTCTAAACCATTCTTAGTTTTTAACATCAAATGTGTAATAAAAATTTAAATAGATGTCTTTTCCAAATACCCCCTCCAGCATTTATTTTATTGTTTATTCATTTGTAAAAAGCAAAGCTGAATTTGACATGTGGCCTATATTTGTGAGAGAGAGATATATATATATTTATTTATTTATATAATATATAAATAGCTATTCAGCATGCAAAGAGTTTAGTGATTTCCCAAGTTAGATTACAGAGTTCACACCAGCCACATGGATGGTCTGGTGACGTTCCGCGCTGAAGAGCTGGGCTGGGGACCACACGATCCACCTCACGGGAGAATTATCCTTGCTTCTCTGAGCTCACGGGCTGAATGTACTGGAAGAAATGAATGTTTTCTCGATTCTTGTTTTTATTTCTGTCGGGCTTTCTTGCTCCAAAGGCGAGGGTTTTCTGGGAGCTGAACAGGCTCTGCCTGGCAGCAGCTCCAATGCGGTCTCCTGGGGACGTTGCCAGGTGAAGTGTGTTTCATGATGGCCAGTCATCGGGTGCAGGTGGTGCCTGAAAGGCCGAGTCTTGTACACCAGAGAGAGTGGGAAACTGCATGTCGGGGGCTGAGGGGAAGGACTTTGTACCATAGTAAAAAACCTGAATGATGACAGAGATGCTATTGGTTGCATTTTCCCTCCTCTTGAAGGAAAAAAATAAAATGTTTTAATACCCATCAGGTGGCACTTAGCACATGACCTTCTCTGAAAGTCATCCCTCAGACCTCAGGACTCCAGGGATCAATCTCCAGGCCACTGACTGAGCCATGAGCTCTACTCTCAGAGAGCGCTTTGTGGCTTAGCTGAGCGCACGTCTCAGGTCATCTCACAGACTCTCCAGAGGCCAAAAGGGGGCCCCCTACTCCCCAGACAAGATTTCCAGCTTCTCTTGCTAACAGAAGGCCAGGAACTCAAAGATGTGCACAGAGACCTCCCACCCCAGCAATGAGAGTCTTCTCCAACCTTCCCTACGAGAGAGACCTCATCACCTGGCCCCTGAGTGAATCAAAGATTATATTATCAAAACCTCTAAGTAACTCACATGAACTCTCCACCCCCGTCCTACCCATGCACCTGTCAGGAGATGTAAGATAACAGTGGACCCAGGTACCAGAGCCAAAATCACTTCTTAGATAATTGTGGTTTTCTTCCTTGTCGTGGCCTCAGCTGTATGTCAGAAGGCGGATATTCTCCAAACGTAGGCACGTACACAGGCACACATACATGCAGACACACACGCAGACACCCTACCCTTTGAAATACCTTCCCGTGTTTCTTGGTAGCGCAGGCCACCCACAGAGGTTAACACCGGATTACCGTGGTCCTGGGGCTATCGATAGACATGGGAGTCATCCGTCAGTCCAGTTCTCTACCGTTCCCATTCCTGAATGATACTGTAAGGAAGCTTCCCGGGACAGGGAGAAGCTCTGAGAGTAGAGAAACTCACTGGCAGTATTCAGGTGTGGAGAGGGCGGCTTCCTCTCGCACACGGCGTGGAGGCCGCGCTCCCTGGGGAAGGAGGCAGCGGGGCCCCGCTCCCGGACCTGAGACTGTGAGAGCTGATTGTAGACGCTGAAGTGGGTGTTTCCTGGCGGCTGGGAGCTCTGAGCCGAGAGAGTGGGCAGCCGAGGCATCATAGTGGTGGCGGTGAAGTGGGTGGGGAAGGACTGGTAAGGCACAGTCTCCATTGTCTGAACACTGTAGCTTGTGTACGGGGAGACTGACGTCCACATGTTACAGCTCAGGGGGGGTGGGGGCAAGTCGTCCACCCCAGACACCCCAGCAATCTCCGGCCCCGAACCTGAGTACATACAGGCTTCTCTTGGGGTCACCTCACTGCAGTAGGAGGGGCTCAGCATCTGCTGGTCGTAGGGAGGGGGAGAACGGAAATAATGATCCTCTCCCACTGCCGGGGGAGCTTCCAGATAGGATCGCTTGCAGGGTAAGTCCAGATGACGGGCACTGTCTGCTGGAAGACAGAGAAGCCTTCAGGAAGAGCCGTTTCCACCAGCCCAGGGCCCAGAACCCTCCTCTCGGATGCCAAGTCAGCTGCCATTGTCACTTAGGACCTGCCCCTCCTCCCATGCGGCCATGGCACTTCCAGAATCACTTTAATCAGCTACAGCTTTTATAAGGTGGCAGCAGCCAAGAGGTGGTCCGATTATGGGCCCTGCTCAGAGGCCACAGGGGACACCACATCAGTGGACATGCCGTGATGTGGTCAGCCAGGCGGCTTTCATCCTTTGCCACCATGACTGCTGGGGATGGGAGGAGGCCTTTATGTGCCCTGGCATTCTTAGGCGAGGCCCACCCTGGCCAAGGAAAGTGGAGGCAACTGCCAGGCCAGACTAGGCCCAGAGGCCACATCTGTCTGAATTAGCCAGAAAATTAAAGCCACGATGTTTCTGCCTTAATCCTCAGCTCCCAGGAAGGCCTTAGCAAGCCAAAGATACTTGCAGGCACGTTCCTGTTGCTTTTAGAAGAGGAAGTAAACCCTACATGTGTTCAAAGGAGTCCCAGCATTGTTACAATACAGATTCCAACCAGGGTTTACAAAATGGAAATGGAGCTGATAATCAGTAAAAGGTGACTTGGACTTTTAAGGCTAAGCTGATACTCTCTTTGGGGAAAGATGACATCAGCTGCCCCAAACCACCAATGCGTGTCTTTCGATGTCCTCAGCCATGACGGCTTGACTGTCTGGAGTGGCATATCCTCTGGGTCACACCTGTTTTAGGATTGAGGGTGCTTTGATAAATGATAGCTCCAGTCCCCACACCTCTGGACCCTGAGGTGTTGGCCTCCTCACAGGCTTAGAGACAAAGCCCATGTGACTTTATGTGATGTGCCCACCCCATGAAGGCTCTGAGCAGTGGCTATAAAAAGCACGTGGCACTGGGCAGGGGTACCCACCGGGCTCCTGGGGACATCAAGGCCAGAAGTGGTCTGTGAGGATTAAAATCAAGAATCAACATCCCTGGGGCACCTGGGTGGCTCAGTGCGTTAAAGCCTCTGCCTTCGGCTCAGGTCATGATCCCAGGGTCCTGGGATCAAGCCCTGCCACGGGCTCTCTGCTCTGCAGAGAGCCTGTTTCCTCCTTGTCTCTCTGCCTGCCTCTCTGCCTACTTGTGATCTCTGTCTGTCAAATAAATAAATAAAATCTTAAAAAAAAAAAAAATCAACATCCCTGCACTAAGCCGGCCATGTTCCTAACCCTCCAGGTTTGTTCTCCCAGGCCACACAATAACCAGGTATGTGCGTGTGTGTGCATGTGTGTGTGTACATGCACACATACACGCATAGGTGTGTGCCCACATAGCATGAATGTTCGCACATATGGTGGAGAGTGTTTGTAGGAAGAGCTTTACCCCTTGTCTGACCCTCTAGGGCTTCCAGCCTAGGAGAGAGCTACCTCGTCTTTTCAGGCAGTGGTAGAAGAGGCTGGAGTCCCTCTGGGCTGGGAAGGTGTTGAGGGGAAGGTCCTGTGGCTCAGCAGTGGCGAACTGCATGTGAGCCCCGTTCTCGTACTGGTAGTGCTGGAGCGCCTGATGGGCACCGTGCAGGGGACTGACGTCAGGCTTGGCTGAGAGCTGGGTGGAGATGAGCCTCTGCCTCATGATGCTTTTGGAGATCACAGGATATTCTTTGCTGGCGAGGCGGGGAGGACAGGGACAGGAAGACAGGAAGAGAGTAAAGATACTTTGAGGGTTACCCTTCGTTCTCCTGAACCCAGTCTGCGCCCCTACCCACGACCTGCATCCCGCCCCCCGGGCCAGGCAGCCCCACCTCTGCAGCCGGGCCACACGCAGGTCACTGTCGTCACTGCCCCGGAATCCCTTGGCAAAAGGGTTGTTCTCAATTTTCAGCTGTGTGATCTGTCAGGAGAGGACACATAGAGTCGCCATAGTAGAGGACTGAGCTGGTCCTCCTGCCCTGTCCCAGACTGTTCAGAGCTCTGGGCAGAGTCAAGGGACAGTGTACACCCCAGCCCTCGGCCAGCTGGCCGGCAGCCTTGCCGCGTCCTCCCGGCCCACTCCATCCATGACTGGTTCCTTGCTTGCTCCCATCCATTCTCCTCACTGCAGACCTTCTGACTCTGCCTCCTGTTCTCCTATCTGTGTGCCTCTCACAGCTTCACATCTGTGTCACCCCATCCAGGGCATCTGCCACATCAGCTTCTGAGGGACCATACTAAATGCCAATCTGTCACTCTTCTGCCTGAAATCTGCCACAGCCTATGGCCCTTCCTCAATCCCCCAAGCCCACCTGGCCAGTCCCTTGCATGATGTGACAAGCCCCCTGAGAAGGGTTGCCTGAGCAGCGGCAGAGGGACAGGGGAGAATGGCCCATGCATGGACCCAGAGGCGGTTTGGGGCAGTCAGGCTGGGGAGGGGCGTGGCAGGGTGGGAGGTAGACCCATCTGACCACTGGCTGACCGCAGGCTCAGTCTCCCGGCTCCCACACAGCTTACTGTGCCCTGAGGCTCCTTTCCCCAATCTATCCCCTTTCCTGGCAGGCCCTGAGTCCGATCTTTGAATCCCAGCAGGGCCAAGAAGTTTGTAGGACACAACGGCCTAACACTCAAGCCTCAAGGCAAGATCCATGCTCTTGGTTCTTATAGTGCCGACTTTGTCCATTCCCCATAATTACTTCGCACTGGAGATTTAGGAATCTGGTCTCCCTTCCTACTCAGCATTTGCTTTCTCACTGCTCCGAGGGACAGTCCAGGTGTCCAAGGCGCCTCTGCCCCGTGCATGGGGGCTTCCCTTCCTGCCTCCCTGATGGCACAGAAATGCTAGGCAGGGTCAGTGGTTGGGTTTGGGGGTGGCTATACCTTGTGATTCTGGTAGGAGGTCACAGAGATGAAGGAAGTCTCTGGGAACACATGCGTGCAGAAGGCTGTGTTTTTGGAGCCGAAAGCATTGTTCTCATCAGCCTTCACGATGTGTAGCCTTGGCTGGTACTTGTGCATGGAGTTGAGGATGATCTGGAAGACAAGGGTCTTTTTCTTAGCTCTAGGTCCCCACCCCCTCGTCCCTGGTCTCAGTCAGCTGACTTCAGGCTGGCTTTCATGCTCCTAAAAGCCCAGGTTCCAGGGCCTGACGCCTGGGACAGAAAGGTGCCAATGCTCCCAAGCAAAGAAGCAGGCTCCTGGGCCCCAGCTCAGCCCCCACGGCCCCCGCTCAGCCCCTCTGCTCCAGAACGAATGCCTGGCCCCAAGACCTTCCTGATGGCACAGATGTTTCACTGCAGTAATGGAGAACTGAATAGTTTTAGTATATGTGCTGCCGAAGCGAGCACTGGAGAACTGAATAGTTTAAAGCCCAAGTGACCTCAGCACTGTGTAGCAGGTGGAATTCCGAGCTGTAGGCAAAGGTCCAGGGTGTCACGGACTCGCTGTGTGACCTCAGGAAAGTCACTGGACTTCTCTGAGCCTCAGTTTTCATATTTGTAAAATAGGATCCTAATTCGTAACTCATCTCCCTCAGGTTTCCTGCTCCAGCTGCCTCTTCAACCTGCCCATCCTGTCCTCTCTTGCCTCTCCTGTTCCTCACTGCCCCGCCCCCCCGCCCCCATACGCACTGCTGTACGACCCGCTTTTCATAAAGATGACTGCCAGGGTGTGCAACATGGGGGAGGAGCTGAGGAGAGTGTCCCACAAACTTCATCTCTTTCAACATTTGCAGAGGCCTGCTGAAGGGATTCTGGGAGACCCAGACGCATCCTGCCGGCAGACCTGCTCAAGGCTGCTCACAGCCTGGAGGGAAGCTCCGTCATAAGCTACAGTTCCAGGTGCCAGGGTAGGAGAGAGCAAAGTTCTAGAAATAATGCCACAGAAGGCCAGAGGCCCCACGCACCTACAGGCCCTTGAGGATGCCTGGGGCTGGGGAGGTGGGTCGACCCACCAGACCCAAAGAACCCAAGAGGCCTGGCCCTGGAGCCCTGGGAGTAACATACAGTAGTTGCGACTCCAAACCTGCTTCATTCGGCTGTGCCCCACGGTAGCGGCTGCATCATGTGCCATTAAAATGTATTTTTTATCGTTGACATTTGCCAGACGCCCTCCCTATTGGAGGCAGGACCAGGAATTTGGGGCATTTTATCAGCACCGCTGCTTTTGTTAACCCTTTGGCTCCTATTCTGGCTGGGCAAGGCTGGCCCTCTGGCCCCATTACTCTCTGAGCTCCCTTCTCTCCTTCCTTTCCTTCTAGGGGTGCCCCTTCCTGGGCTAGCCCTACTGGCTCCCATCTTCCCAGTTCCCAGGGACAGGTCTGGTGCCAGATTAAAACCCTGAGTGACCAGAGTGCCAGAAGAAGGGCCGGAACCAGACTCTTCTAGGGCACACCAAGGCAGAAGGGTTAGTCTAGGGAAAGGTGCCACATTCAGCATGGCCTGGGGACAGAGAAAGCCCAGGGGACAGGCACAGCTGAGGAGCAGGTGGAGCAGCAGCTGGGCCGTGGCCTCTGGCTCTCCCTGGGCTCCTCAGCTTGCCTGGATCTCTCCACCCAGCAGAGCTAGTTTTTCTGCCTTCTGCACTGGCTGTGACAGCCTCCCATGACAAATCTCTGGACCCTCTCGGGGCAGATACAGAGCACCCCAAGCCCCCAGCCAGGGCCTGCAGCTGAGGACCCATTGCCCAACTGGGAGCCTGCCAGATAAACGAACGCAGAGTGGACACAAGTTCTGCCTCGGGAGGCCTCAATGGACATTTGTTTCCAAGAGGCTGGGGATAGGGGACAGGTCTTGGGAAACACCTCTCAGTCCCTTTAGGTTATTCTGCCACCCTGCACTGCCCCCCAGCTGCAGGAGTCCACAAAGGACCCAAGTTCCCAGAAGACCAGGAAACTAAATCCCTGGGAGGTGGTCAAGATGCCTCCAGAAGCCCCCAGAGTCCCACCTCCTGGCCTTTTCACATGCAGTTCCTTTGGCTTGATCTTCCTTTTCCCCTCTCTCTCACCTTCTAGGGTTATCTTCTCTAAACCTGACTCTTCCGGGAAGCCTTCCCAGATCACTAGGTCCTTTTGTGAATCCCTGATTCTGAAACTTCCTCCCTACACATTGTCTACTTGGCTGTTGTGTTGCTCCCTAGTGGTTTCCTGTTCCTGCTGGTCCCTTCAATTAAACTATGAACTCCTCAAGAGAAAAAGAGAAAGGGACATATTTTTTACTCCTTTTGTACCTCTGGGATCCTTTACCCTTAGACAAGAACTAGTAAGTGCAAGGCAGCCTCTAAGGCATTCTTCAGGTAAAAATTCAGGATTAAACCTATGCACAGCATGCTGCCATCCCCGCGGCAGGACTAGCCCCTGGCCACTTGGGGAGCACACAGCCAGTGGACTGACAGATCTAAGCAATGCTAGGCACCAGCACAGTGAGGCTGGGCTGTCCCTCAAGGACACCTGTCCCTCAAGGACACCCACCCTGCTCCTCGGCCACCTGGGGAGTCCTAGGCTCTGTCCGTCTGGCCAGAGCCCTGGGTACCATCAACTCCCTCCTCCTCACTGTCATTCACCTCCAGGTCCAGTCAGTGACCAAGTCCTGTGACTCCATCCACAAGATAAATGTCTCTCTGTTCGCACTGCCCAGCACTGATTCAGCAACCCCTCCCCCCCCCCCGCCATCTCTCTCTGGGTTTGGGGCTACCTCCTCCCTGTCTCCCTCTCCATTTTCACTGCTACACATCAAATCAGGTCACTCCCCTGCTTATAACGTTCCAGTTCATCCAGAAGGACTGTCCACTTGCTTTGTATTTCTTCCTCTTGCCTCCCAAGTTTTCCTCCCTCCATTCCTGCCAACATTTAGAGCTCAATAAGTGTCTTATATTCATAATGCCACCTTTGATGGTTCCCTCTTGCCCCTTGGGATAAAGGCCAAACTCCTTAGCCTATCAGACAAGGTCCTCCATTGACTGAGGTGGAGAGATTGCCAAATACACCTTCTAGGGGAGGGACCCAGTCTGGCTGGGAAAACTGGGAAGAGAGAAAGTGCCAGCCGTGAAGGGCAGGGAGGAGCCATAGGGGTTGCAATCTTGGACACAGAGAAGTCGGGAAGAGTCCAGAAGCTTCAGTGGATCTCTGCTCAGCAGTTGCAAGTCTTGAGCAAGCTCTTTCCCCCCAAGGCATTGGGGTCCCTATCTGCAAAGGGAGGCCTTCGACTAAGAAGTGGTCCCAAACACCCCTCATAACTCAGACACTCTGGAACCCAGACAGGTGTCTGGAGAAAGGTCCTGCTCATTGAACCAACGCAATTTTAAACTGGTGCTTCAGCCCCAACAGCCCAGGAGAATGTGGAACCAACTCCATGACTCACACCTGGCTTTACTCGGAAGTTCCTCAGGCGCCACATTAATCTCCTTTGCCAGAGTCTCACATTTATACTTGTGGCAGAGGACATTGGGCCAAATGGACCAGTCACGTCAACAAACCCCACTACATAACTGGTCCCATCATTGTTTTACAGACATGGGATTCATTACATTCTGGCTGCAATTCAGAAGCCTGTTCTATTTTAACAAACTGTGATAGCGCCAAACATCCATTTCCTCAAGAGATCACCCTAGCATGCTTGGCCAGTGAGGTTGAGATTTATCTGCATTAGAATCACAGAACATAAGCACGTGGAGAGGCAGACCTTAGAAATCATTCTGGTCCAACCTCCTAATTTACAGATGAGGAACAGGAGGCTTGTAGTGGGAACGTGACTTGCCCAAGAACACAGAGCTGGCTGGAGACGGAATCCTGAGAAGAGTCCAGATGGCCTTTGAGAGAGCACACACTGCTCTCCACAACACGCTCAGAAATTAATGATAAAGTGTCAGCCCAACACTGTGAGAGACGAGGATTCACCAGGCCCTCATGTCCATCACGGAACACAGTGTATCTGGATGCTAGCCGCACAAATGTGGCCAATGTCCATTTTGTCATAGATTAAAACCAGATTTCCCCCTGTGTCATAATTTTACTTTTTAAGACTACCTTCTCCATCATCCTTCTTACCTTCTCCAGTCCTGCGAAGAGGTAAGGATGGAGGCAGGTTCTAGAGCTTACACAAAAAGAGGAAAAAACTGAGACCCAGAAAGGTAAGCGATTGGCTGAAAGAAGACCCAAAGTAGAGCTGAGTCGGGCAGCCCATCAGCCAACTCACGAGGCCTTGGCCAGGTATGCCTTAGGCCTCACTCCCAGGGTAGCAGCCCAGGGGCCCGGAAAGCTTTCTGCCTTCTCTCACAGACACTGCAGTGTTCACAGAGCATAGTCTATGTGCCAGGCCCTGTGCTGAGGAGCCTACACACATCGAATAAGTACTCTTTACCACATGCCTGTGTAGTAGGCATTATTATTGGGTGCATTAGGCACAGCCTAAGGGGACTGCAGCTCAGGGAGGTGAAGGCATCTACCCAACCTCAGACAGCCAGTGGGAGGCAGAGCTAGATTTTGGTACTAATTCCTGAGCCTGAGCTCATACATGTCCCTGGCTGGAGTGCACCAGGCCCGATGGGGAGTTGTACAGGGCATCTGTATCTCCCAACGCACCAGCAAGGGCTCAGCACATTGTCAGGGTGCAAAAAATGTGGGAGAAAAGGAGGAAAAGAAGGAGATCAATAGCCCTGGGTCCCCACCGACATGCTGACAGCATAAGCTTTGGAGGGAGTTCAGCCCCTGGCAGAGAACAAGCCTTCTCCAGCTAAATCCCACCCCTGTCCGCCAGTTCTCTCATTCACTTATTGCTTACCAGCACCCAATGTGCCAGACCCAGTGCCAGGCACTAGGATACAATTGTGACTTAAAACCTTGTGATTTCCTGTCTAGTGGGAAAAGTCACACAGAAATCCAAAAACTAGGCAAAAGTAAGTAAGTAATGAGAAAATGTACTGGAACAAAGACTACATTTATTTATTTATTTATTTATTTATTTATTTATTATGTATTTTAAAGTTTATCCAATTTTTATCTTTTTTTAAATTTTTTTTTAATTTGTCAGAGAGAGAGT